TTTTACCTATGTTGTAATTCAGCACAGATTTAACATGGAGCAAGTCCCTAAATGTCATGACTTCCATCAAAGCAAACTTAAGGTAACTCCCAACTGATAATTTGCAAGAACTGTCTGATATTCCCATTTTGTTTTTCCATAAAAACAAAATACCTATGAAACCTTTCTTCCTCATCTTTTTAATTTTGCCGGTCAAGAAATTTTTTGTTATCTGTATTCCTCAGTTAGTAAATGCTCTAGAATTGCCGCTTCTTCAGCATACTATACAATCGATGGGCTTTCCCGATACTTTTATCTTGTTATGTGGCATAAACATTTACTAACAAATAGGTGAATTAATAAAATACAATAAAAATCAGAATCAGAGTACCTACCATAAGAAAGTACCAAGACCATGTCACTATCCAAAACCGTCGGAACTCTATGAGCTATGGTTATGACGGTGCAATTAGAGAACTCCTTCCTGATAATACTCTGAAGGATGGCATCAGTTGCAGAATCAATGGAGGCAGTTGCTTCGTCGAGAACAAGAATTTTGTTCTTTCGTAGGAGAACACGGCCAAGGCAGAAGAGCTGCCTTTGTCCAGCACTCCAGTTCTCTCCATCATCGCTAACTTCAAGGTGTAACAAACAAAAAGTGGATCAACCTTAGTTGTGCACCTTAAATGACAGAGAATTCATACGGTTGATAGCTTAAGGACTTTACTCACCAGTTGAATCAAGAAGAGCGGGAAGACTGCTAATGGTTTCCTTCAACTGGCACTTGTCTAATGCCTGTCAAATATGCATTATATAAACTTGTATTGAGTACAAACTCGCATTTATCTATAACATAGATTTGCAAGACTGTAATAGTAGAAAAGAAAAAACCTCGAGCAATATAAAAGATCTTCAGGTCATACAGATCACTGGTTAATAGAGAAATCATAGTGCCTAAGATAAATTCTTGATTAGGAAAATGGAAATCTACAAAGCAAATGATACTGTATTAGATTTTTAACTACATATTCTCGGACATATCTCTTATATATTTTTGGTATGTTTAGAGCACCTAATCAGTATCCATTAAGTATCTGCGTATCCAAGTATCAGATACATATTGGATTCGGATGAATCGCCTATTTTGAAGTAGCAGTGCAACATAGGCTACATCTAAATCCAAGTTAGATCACAGTGAACAGGCAAGTGAAGGAAGTAATAATCGACTAATGATACTCAGTAATATCCACCTTTGCGTTGAAAGTAAGAAACAGGTACAGACATCCGCAGATATATCTGTATCAGTATCTAATAGGATAGAGATACTAGTATCAGTATCCCATAGAATATGGATATGCAAGTAAAATATCTGTATCCATATCCGAATATAAAATCAATCATACATTTGAAATTGTTTTGACTATTACCTTAATAGATTTGAGGTCAATTTTGATGACACAAATATCTAATCTTAGTTTTTCAGAGATTCTGCATGTATAAAGGATCTCTCATTAAAGAAATTGATTATATTTAAACATTTCTGGTATCACATAACCTATATTTTTCAATCTTATCAAGTTTACTTATATTTGTTTCCTATCCATATATATTGCAGTCGATTTTAGCAGATGTGTATATGAATTTCCATTCTGAAACATATTCGTAACTATATTTGTGACCACGATTAATAAGCGGACGCAAATATTGTAGGTGTAATGTCTGGCCTGTTTGCACCAAAAGGTTATTTAAAATTTTATAATTCGTAATCCTTTACCAGGTCTGACGTACAAAATGCAAAAAAATATAAAATAAAATAAAATAAAGTAAAAATGGAGAAGAAAAGGAAAAACTGAATGACGATACAAGGCAACATGGCTTGTACTTATGAAGTATCATCATTAAGGTGTTCCTTATATTGTTATTAATTATGAAAATATTGATGCGCATATTTGAACATCTAAAACTTAAAAAAAATTTGCAGGTAAGAACAATTTGTCTGACCTCCCATATCTCATGGTCGGTGTAAAGCCCGAGAGGGTCCAAGTTACTCCTTACACTGCCTCGAAAAAGAGTTGGTTCTTGAGGAATAATACTTAGTTTCAACCTGAGGTCCTTTAGACCTATGGAACATATATCAAGCTCATCAACAAGGATTCTTCCATCTGAAGGGTCTACAAGACGAAATAGAGAGCTTATTAGGGTGGTCTTCCCACTTCCGGTCCTTCCTACAACTCCAATCTTGTTTCCTGGTGCAAAAGTGCATGTAATCCCTTTTAGAACCAAGGGAGTATTTGAACGATATTTCACCTGAACAATCAATAGACAATTTTCAATTGGAAAACAATACACAAATTTAGTCAACAGATCCAAATAGTAGGAGAAAAGTAGAAGAAACTTAAGTGGATTGAGGGCTATTGTCCACCAAATTCATGATGATTTGCGATACACATCAAGACATGCATATCAAAGATAACATTGATGTTTATCACACACAAACACAAATCTCAAAGCAAATCCATTAAAGAAGTCAGTGGACAAAGCCCTAAAGTCTCTAGTTATGTTTATTCTAGATTTACTCAGTAAAGTATATCTTTATTCTCACTTTTAGATCGATTAAATCTACTTTGCCTTCATGAGGCCATGAAGGCGGTGGCCTGTTCTTATCAATGACTGCAGGAGGCTCTGATGGAATATGCATAAACTGTTTGATTCTCTCAACAGAAATGATGAAATTCTCTAAGTTCGAGTACCACCTAGTGAAAAACACTTGGGTGGAAGAAAGAGTAAGAGAATAGGAAAGACTGAGACCAGCAAATCCTGAAACGCACCAAAAAGAAGTTAGCCACCCAATACTTCGAGAAAATGGAAGAGAATGTATCTG